ATTTTTTTTCCCAGTCTTGTTTGACTTTATCGGTGGTGCTGTTTTTTTTTTTTTTTTTTTTTTTTTAAAAAAAAAAAAAAGAAAAATTTTCAGCCAAAACTGCTGATCATTTTGGGGGTTTTTTTTGTTTTTTTGGGGGGGTTTTTTTTTTTTTTTTTAAAAAAAAAAAAAAGAAAAATTTTCAGCCAAAACTGCTGATCATTTTGGGGGTTTTTTTTGTTTTTTTGGGGGGGTTTTTTTTTTTTTTTTTTTTTTTTTTTTAAAGAAAAAAAAAAGTAAAATTGTCAGCCAAAACTGCTGATCATCTTGGGAGTATTTTAGTGTTTCAGTGTCTGAGTGTGTGTCTGACAGGGCCTAGGAGCAACTACGTCAGAAAGGTACTTTTCTGTTTTTTGTTGTTTTATTTTCTCTTACAGAGTTGTAGGGAGAGTCTGGAGCTGGAGTTGGCTGTCATGTCCAAGTCTGTCTGCTTTTAAAATTTTGTTTGTTTGAAATTACAAGGGTAAGATGAACTGCAGTGTAAGATGGGCTGTTTTGTTACAGTACACTCACGGTATCACTTCTTATTCAATGTTAACATGAGCAATTTGTTTTATTTTTCATTCCATCTAAAGATGCGTTACATTACTGCATGAGTGATTATATGAAGGATATGACTGTAAAACAAATCAGCAAAAAGGAGTCCATCTTTGCTTCATTCCATTTTACTCAAACCCTATTAAAAATTAAGTATTTTGTGGCCTATGCTTTCCTGATTATAGATTAAAAATGATTAAAAGTGAATAGTAATATATATATAACCACAAGAGTAGTGTACTTTTCATATTAAAAATTATACATACTGATATATCTTTATTTCAACATTAAGACTGTAAATAATGTGGTAAAACTATTATTTAAATAACAGGCTGAATTTTTAAATTGTTAGGATTTTATTTTGTAATCTAAATGAATTAAAATTAACAATAAATATAAGTAAAATATAATTCTCAGATCCCACTTTTAAAATTAACACCATGAGCAGGCAACTCCAGCCATACATTGTGATATATTTTAAAGTATTTATATATGTATAAAAATAAATTTGTGACAATTTAGCTCTTCATTTTTATTCTAATTTCCTTCATTGAGGCTAACCATAGTGATAGGAGATATTTTCTTATACACAAGGAAATAATTTGCTACCTTATTAAAAATGAATAAAGGGCTAAAATCCCACATCATCTCAAGAAATGTGGGTAATGAAAGCTATTCTATTATTATACAGCATTGCTTTTTCAAATATCAAGATAGGCAAAATGTTTAAGCTACATGCACATGAAAAGTGAAGCTCTGTGTAAATCTTAAGAAACAGATGTGAACATATGTTAGATAATTTCCTCTGAAACCCACATAATCAATAAGAATATGAAAACTATGTACATGTAATTTATAGAGAGTTCTTTTCTCTCTTCTAATGTTATTTTTATAAAGAATTTTCACTTATTAATATTGTAGTTGGTACTTTGCATCATCTCAGGTAGAACTTGGGCCTCCTGTTACTAAACACAAGTCCTAAGAGATTGTCTATTATCTGAAATTAGCTTCTGCTCTCCCAATGGTTGTTGCTTGCTTACTAAAATGATATGTAAATCTATGGTTTAACCTTCTATTACACAGTGATTCCATTCTGCCACTGTAACCAGAAGTATCTGATTGCTGATCAAATTCTCTGTATTCGTTTCACCTTTCCCCCAATCTCTGTTAGGTTCTGAGCTCATGCCCAAAGCGCTCTCCACCAGGATAGTGGGAGGCATTTGGTGGTTTTTCACACTTATCATCATTTCTTCGTATACTGCTAACTTAGCCGCCTTTCTGACAGTGGAACGCATGGAATCCCCTATTGACTCTGCTGATGATTTAGCTAAACAAACCAAAATAGAGTATGGAGCAGTAGAAGATGGTGCAACCATGACATTTTTCAAGGTAAGTCCCACTGGTTACCTAATATTTATGTATTAAAATGATAGAGCACAAACAAATCTTTCTCTTTTCATAAATGGCATTGCGTAGCAAAGCATTATTTCTGTAGAGTAATTAATAGCATATACCTCAAGGGGTGGAGAGGTGTACAACTAAATATATGCCCATCAAGAGAATTATTTTAATACGTGAAAATGATAAGATTTTGCTTTACAAGTACTCTATTCTTGGTTTGAGGGCAATCTGCCCAAAGGGGACACTTTCATTTTCCCAAGAATGTTTTATCTTTGAATGAAAAAATAATGTGTTTATTGAAAATTGTGTAGTAGTAGATTCAGACTCTACAAGGCTTAGCTATTCCAGAAGAATAGAATAATTACATGTAAGAATGTTTTCCAACATACATTTCTTTTTGTGGAAATGAAGCAGGGTATAAGGGCTAAAGAAACAAGGAGAAACAGTTCCTATTATGTGTACATTCATCCATCTAATATTATGGGAGGCACGCATCTGAAAACAGGCTACTCATTTAACTCACAGTGGTTTCCAGATGGACAGTCCTATGCAACGTTTAAAGGGAAAGTGTGTTTATCAAGTTCCTGGCCTATGGAGTGCCTTTCCCTTCTCTTCTCCATAATCTAGCTCATCTCACTGGCCCAACGTTGAGCAGATGGGGACATTTCACTTTAGGGAGTCAATATCACTTTATGATTTCTTTTAAATTTTGCCAAGTATTTTTACATGCTTTGTAGGTTGGGTAAATTTTTAAGCATTAGTATTTTCCTTTAGTGTTTATACAGAAGTAATTGGCAGTTAAAATGTGCAATGAATGTGGTAGATATTTTTCTTTTTAAAAAGTTACCGACTCAAGCTATAAAATAAATTCTTTCATCAAGCATTCATCAACTGCTTATTGAGTGCCAGAAATTACACTGTACATGGGTTATTTTATGGCAAACAAGATCTAGCTCTTAATGTCAAGGAATTTACACTTTAATTGAAAATAGAAGAATAAATCAACAATCATAGAACTGGGTTTTATGTGACTTAAAACAGCAATTTTGCCAAATTATGTAATTTTCTTTGTAAAAATTCTTATAAAACTAAATCAGTCTTTTAGAGTAGAGTTCTAGAGAACACTAAATTTCTAAGAAGATAAGATAGATTTGATTGTTTTGTCAAATCCATATCATTATTAAAATTTAATTATTTTTAAAGTCAATTTCTCATAGCTAGATTAAAGATTGGATGCATATTTTACATTTAAATGAAAAATCTTCTTATTTAATCAAATTTTTGCTGAATAAGCAAATAAGAGCATAATTCAGCATGATGTGATTTGACTAAATTAATTGCAATGGATCCACTTTCCCTAATTTAATATTTAGAATTATTAGACTATCTTTCTTATAAAACTATTTTTAATATCTTTTGTTTTTTTTAAAAGAAATCAGCTGTTGAAATTGCTAAGTGCACATTGCATCAACAACTTTGCATATATGTGATACGTTTAAATTACTACAGTATCCAGGAGACTTTTATTGCCGAGTTTGTAAAATAACACAACTAAAGTACCTAACAATGTGATTTGACACAAGAACACAAGAAGTGTTTATTTCTGTTTCACAAATATGTCAGGGTTTTCATTTCATTTTTATTTTCCAGAAGACTTAAGTATCTCTTCTCAAAGCTCTAACATACTGTGAGCAAAGTTCATCTCTGAAAAATCAATTCCAAAACACATTTCTCTTTTCTCTTTATGTCATTTTTCTTTTCTTTCTTTATCTTACCAATCTTCTTTTCTTTTTCTTTTTTTCCTTAGTTCAATTGTTCTCTGCTGTGTTATTTTTGCCCATCTTCACTTTTTCTTGCTACTGACTTTTCTTCTTACTTTTTCATCTCTTGTTTTTCTCTCTCTCATACAAGGATGCCTCTAGCACCTGGAGCACATTGACATGAAACAACTTTCTGTTTTCAGCAGCACGGACTTTCTTCATAATTGAAACCTTCTGGAATATACACTAGTCACCTTAAAAACAACAGTGATGATCACTAAGTTGACATTACTTTGTATTGCGAGCTTTATCACGTGCTAAATTCTTACTGTTGAAATCAGAAAAGAACTTAGATTTTACAAGGATACATTAAATGCTGATTTTTCTTTAAGTATGTTGGTGTAGTCTTAAAAGATTCTAATTTCAACTTTTTGTTTTGGCTTGTTAAACTATGTAGTTAAACCAGCTATTGTATCAAATAAAAAAAAAAAGAAAAAAAAAAACTTCTTAGCAATCTGGAATTCAAACAAATGCATGCTCATTTTGAAACTCTACAGTGAACCAGGGACTACTGTGTTTAGTCTATTTACATTTGATACCATTCTTTCATTTTTTTTAATTAACAGCCACACATACAAACACACTAGGAAGTACCCTTAAGGCATTGACTTATAAAGGAATTTTCCTCTTGCTTTTACTAATTTAACAAGATCCTGCTGTTAACTAATTGTTCTGGAATGCTCAGTTCCAGAAAATTATTTTAAAGAGTGATATAGTTTTGTTACTCCAAGCAAGAGCTAGCTCAAGATATTTGGACTTAAAAAAGGGTAAGTCCTCATTACTTCAAAGACAGGCAGAATTATAAAGCTATTCTACAACATTTAATAATTCCTTTTTACTAATTTAACAAGATCCTGCTGTTAATTGTTCTGGAATGCTCAGTTCCAGAAAATTATTTTAAAGAGTGATATAGTTTTGTTACTCCAAGCAAGAGCTAGCTCAAGATATTTGGAGTCCTCATTACTTCAAAGACAGGCAGAATTATAAAGCTATTCTACAACATTTAATAATTCCATTTCCAAAGACCTGCTTGATTTTGTTTACTGAGCTCACATGTCTATTGCCTTCAAGATGTGTTCTTCCTTCTTTTATTCTGTATCCATTACACTCCACACACATTCTCTCTAGGGATAAATGTAAAGCCAATGGCTGGCAAAGTAATTGAATATCAAGATGATGGTGGTTTTCCAGTATTATTCCATGTAAAAAATAGAAAACTGTATGTTATTGCCAATATGTTCTTAATCATATTTAGATAACAAAATAGATGGGGGCTTAGGGATTTTATGGAAAAAACATTAAAAGAGGAGTCAAAACCTCCTTCTTGGAATCTGGTACTTTGGTGTACTAAAATTGAAATCTCACCCCAAGGCAATACTCTATGCAAAATGTTACCAAACAACAAGCACATTCTTTTCTCTCCGAAGTATAAAAATTAGGAGAATGAATATATATATATTACAGTACGAAAAATATTTTAGCTAGAGTATGTAGATGTCAATGGCCTCTTTTGAGAATCCCTATATTTCCCAAGTGAGTCATATAACTTCGTATAGTGTATGCTATACGAAGTTATGCCGATTTATTTGTGTCTTCTTCAGTTTCTATCTTCAAAGTTTTATAACTTTCATTGTAGAGGTCTTCCACCTCCTTGGTTAAGTTTATTCCTAAGTATCTTATTTTTTTGGTATTTATTGTAAAAGGAATTTTGTTTTCTTGATTTCTTTTTCAGATAGCTCACTATGAGTATACAGAAATGCTACTGACTTTTGTATGTTGATTTTGCATACTACAACTTTACTGAATCAGTTCATTATTTCTAACAGTTTTTGGTGAAGTCTTTAGGGTTTTCTATATATAAGATCATTTCATCTGCAAACAGGGACAGTCTGACTTCCTCATTTCCAATTTGGATACCTTTTATTTCTTTCTCTTGTCTAATTGCTCTGGTTAGGACTTCCAGTACTATGTTGAAAAGACTTGGTGAAAGTGGGCATCCTTGTCTTTTTCCTGATCTAATGTTGTTAGTATGGTGTTAGCTGTGGGCTTGTTATATATGGCCTTTATTGTATTGAGCTACATACCTTATATTCTTAATTTGTTAAAAGTTTTTTTATCATGAAAAGATGTTGAATTTTGTCAAATGTTTTTTCTTGTGTATGTTGAACCATCTTTGCATCTCAGGGATAAATCCCACTGGATCATGGTGAAGAATCCTTTTGATGTGTTCTTGAATTTGGTTTGCTAGTGTTTTGTTGAGAATATTTGCATCTATTTTTACCAAGCTTATGGACCTGTAGTTTTCTTTTCTTGTGATATCCTTGTTTGGATTTGATATCAGGGTAATGCTGGCCTTCTGAAAAGTGGTGCAATTACCACTTCTTTGATATTTTGGAATAGTTTATGAAGAATTGGGATTAGTCCTTCTTTAAATGTTTAGTAGAACTCAGCAGTGAAGCCATAGATTTTTTTCTTTTTGATTGCATACAACAAATGCACACTTTTGCTTCCCTCCCAAATCTAAAAAATTACAGCCCAGATCAATGTCCTGTAGTTCTTCCCCTATATTTTCTTACAGTGGTTTTATGGTTTCAAGTCTTATGTTTAAGTCTTTACTTCATTTTGAGTTGATTTTTTATATGATGTGACATAAGGTCCAATTTCATTCCTCTGAAGGGGATATCCAGCTTTTCAACACCATTAATTGAAGACACTGTAGATGCATGGATTTTTTTTCTGGGCTCACTATTCTGTTCCATTGGTTCGTATGTCTACTTTTAATACCAGTTCCATACTGATGAAATTATTATCACTTTGTAATATAGTTTGAAGTCAGGCAGTGTGATCCCTCCATCTTTGTTCTTTTTGTTCAAGATTGCCTTAGCTATTTTTTTGTGTGTGTGTTTCCATATGAATTTTAGGATTTTTTTTCTACATCTATGAGAAATGGTGTTGGAACTGTGATAGTGATTACACTGAATCTGTAGATTGCTTTGGGTAGTATGAACATATTAACAATATTAATTCTCCTAATCCAGTAATCCCAGTTCAAAAACTGCGTGGCAGAATACTGCTATGGCGGTAGTCTTTATTCTACCAAAATTGTAGGAAATGTGGCTTTACTGGAACCAGTATGGGTGCATAGCATATATGTATTGCCATGGCAGG